ATTTGACTGTTGAGGGTCACAACAAACCAAGACCGCAAAAAATATATAAAAGAGCCTAATTTGGAGATACGTACAAGGAAAAACCAGTAGTATATATATATAGTTTTTTTTTACAATGCTACTTGTAAGAAAACAGATAGTATCAAAAGCTCTTCCTGGATGCACTGGAAGTAAGTTACAGCCTATAAGGTTTAAAGGTCGTTTAGAAATATTTTTTATAAAATCTTTGTCATACAGCTGATAAATCGGGTGTTGCAATAAATCATTGCCACAAACGCTTATCAGGCAATAATGTTCCTTCTGCTACGGATAAAAATATGAGACGATTAGAAGGGAAAGTTGCAGTTGTCACTGCTTCTACAGAAGGGTAAGTAAAACAATTATGTACACATATACATAAATTACTATAAAAACTAAACCTTTTCTCTAATGCAATCACTTTGTATAGTATTGGATTTTCAATTGCCAAACGTCTTGCTGAAGATGGTGCATCTGTAGTTATAAGCAGCCGTAAAGAAGTAAACGTGGATAGTGCCGTTGATCGTCTACGCAGATTAAATCTTAATGTTATTGGTTTAAAATGTCACGTAGGAGATTCAAAAGATCGCCAACGTCTTTTCGACGAAACAATACGTAAATATGGAAAATTGAATATATTGGTATCCAATGCTGCCACCAACCCAGCAGTGGGTGCAGTTTTGGAGTGCGACGAGGGCGTTTGGGACAAAATATTTGATGTAAATGTAAAGTCTTCTTATTTGCTAGCGAAGGAAGCTTTGCCGTACTTACGAAAAGAAAAAAATTCTAGTATAGTTTTCGTGTCTTCTATCGCAGGATATGATGCATTTGAGGTAAAGATTTACTTGTTTGAGTTTTTTTTAATTAAATGATGTGTTTTTTCAGTTGTTAGGCGCATATTCTGTAAGCAAAACGGCTTTGATTGGATTAACCAAAGCCGCGGCAAAAGATTTGGCACCTGAAGGTATACGCGTTAATTGCTTAGCTCCAGGGATTATTAAAACTAAATTTTCAAAAGCGGTAATATTTACTTAAACCCAAAACCCATCGCAGTTTTTAATTATTTTTCTCAAAGCTGTATGAAAGTGAGTCTGCGAACGAGCTTGCACTATCAAGGATACCTATGAGAAGACTAGGCACTCCAGAGGAAATGGCTGGTATCGTATCTTTTCTAGTGTCTAATGATGCGACATATATAACAGGCGAAACAATTGTTGCATCTGGTGGTATGTCAGGACGACTTTAAATCAAACCCGTGCTATTACAATTGGAATAAGGGTCCGGTACGATATGTCGAAATTTAAAACGTCGAAATTAAAAACACCGAAAAAAATAAATAGGAATTGAAGAATTTCGAAAAAAATAGTCGAAAGAAAATATATCGAAATAATGTAATGAATGATGTGTGAAATTGGCGCGAATTTTTGAATTGGAAGAGGGTCAAACGTCATTTTCGAATCGAACGTAGAATTCGAATATGCCATACACTCTTCGATTTTAAATTACTCCACCCTAAAGTATATATTTACATAACGCAGCCATCTTGAGACCTTTTATGATGACAATATGATGACAATAGCCCAACTTCGCTCTGGCTACTGCAGTAGATTAAACTCATACCTGAGCAGACCATAAGCGGATGTGCCAAATGAGTGTGCGGCATGCGGAGAGACCCTCACGACTCGAAACATCTCTTCGCATGCCCGGAAAACCCGACAACCCTAACGCCTTTATCCTTGTGGACCGA